CTGCCCCCCCCTCCTGGTCCTGCCCTTCCCCCCGTCTCATCCCTCCACCCCAGCGCCCCATCCTAGGCCTGGCCCTTCCCTGACCTCCTTCCTCCCCCCAGCGCCCCGTTTTGTTCCTGCTCCCCACACTTCAGTCCTTCCTCCCCCAGCATCCTAGCCTAGTCCTCACCCTGTCCCCCCTCCCCCAGCTCTCCCTGCTTTCCTCCCAGCTCTGTTCCATTTTTCCTCAAGTCCTCAACCTTCCCCTAATAACCTCCCACCTTCCCTGATCTCCCCTCAGCCCATTGATTCCTTTTAGGGCTGTTGACTCACAATAATAAGTTTTTTAGTTAATCACCATTAAAATTAATAGTTAAACTAAGTTTTAATCACAGTTGCAATTTGTTAAATATTTTGGACGTATTCTGAAAATGTAGAAAAAGCATCCAAAACACAGAATACAAAGTGTTTTGAAATGTAAAAATGATAAACGTAATATTCTTAAATTTGCCTCAAGTTTTGTAGTACAGTGTCTATTGTATAAGTGCAACTTACAAATGTAGATTTTTACATTACTTCATTCACACAAAACAATATACAACTTGAGAGCTTACAAGTCCATATGGTCCTACTTTTTGTTCCAATCACTAATAGATTTTTTTATATATATATATATATATTTTTGCAGGAGATAAAGTTACTGGCTTTTTATTTACAATGGCACCTGAAAGTGATAACAGGAATTCCCCTGGTACTTTTTATAGAAGCTTCACAAGGTACTTATGTGCCATATAGGCTAAATATTTGTTTACCGTTTTTGCTTGGGCCACCATACAAGAGGGAATACTTCCATGCTGATGATGCTTGTTCAAAAAAGTCATTAATTACATTTGTGACTTAACTCTTCAAGGAAGTAGTATGTCTCCTGCTCTGTTTTACCCAAATTTTGTCATATTTCATGTTATAGTCTTGGGATGTTCATTTTAAGAACACTTACTACAGATATGGCAAAACACAAAGGTAGGTACCAATGTGAAATTTCTAAAGTTAGCTACAGCACTTGATCCAAGGTTTAAGAATCTGAAGTGCCTTCCAAAGTCTGAGGAACAAGGTGTAGAAAATGCTTTAAGAAGTCTTGAGAGAGCTACACTTCATGTGGAAACTACAGAACCTTAATCACCAAAAAAGAAAATCAACCTTCTGCTGGTGGCATCAGGCTCAGATGATAAAAATGAACATGTGGTGGCCCACACTGCTTTGGATCATTATCAAGCAGAAGCTGTTAGCAGCATGGATGCACATCCTCTGGAATGGTGGTTGAAGTGTGAAGGGACATACAAATCTTTAGCACATCTGTCATGTAAATATTTGGCAATTGCAGGCAATTGCCAATGTCATGCAGACACCCTGTTTTCACTTTCAGGTGACTTTGTAAAAAAATGAGCAAAGTTATTTGCTGTAAATGTAAACTAACATGTTTATGTGAATGAACAAAAATAGGAGCGAGTGGACTCTAAAGTTTTACCTTGTTTTATTTTGAATGCTTTTTTTCTATCTTGTACAATTTATAAATTCAGCTTGCATGATAAAGAGGTTGCACTACAGTATTTAATGTGGGAATCGAAAAGTACGATTTATTTTTTACAGTGCACATACTCGTAATCAAATATAAAATGAACACTATATACTTTGAATTCTATATTGCAATTGAAATAAAAGTATTTTGAAAGGTAGAAAACATCCAAAATATTTTAGTGGTATTCTGTTGTTTTAACAGCACCAGTTATCACAATTAAATTTTTAAATCACTTGCTAGCACTACTTCTTTTGCATTCTCCCCATCCCATTGATTTTCCCTCCCCTTCCTTTCACCTGGAGCTCCCCTTTCTTTCCCCCAATAGATAATGGGAAGGAGGAAGTGAGCCAATTAACATAACTGGCTGCAGAATTGCTTATCTCTGTGCCCCTTCTGATGGTGGCTGAAAGGTGGCCCCTGTATGCCATAGTTTATCTAGGCCTAAAGGGATGATTGAGCTTCTGCTTTGCAAGCTTCACAGTAGCAGACAAAAAAGCATGCCTGTGGCTGAAATAACATAACTGCTGGGGGATAACATGTTTACTCTGGCAAAATATTACTGCCCAGCTGTGGCATGTGTTGTTCCTACAAGTTTTAAGAATTACTCTTGACTGCCAGTACCATGCTACAGTCTCTTCCCCGTATGAAGCTGTGTTCTTTATGCCTCTGATATCACTTCCAGAAACAAGATTTTGCAGTCTGAAAGAGGCTAATAAATCTGATGCCTATGGCAGAATAGACTCCAACTTGCTTCTCTGTGGCTGCATGGTCTCTGCCCAACTAATAGGACAGAAAGCAAGTTTTATCATGAGTCGTGACTTGAAAACCTTCAGGGAGCAAATGTTTGCGTAAGAAGGTGAAGTTGTTTTACAGGTCTTTTCTGCCTGTAACCACACTCTGAAATGTTATTACTCTTCCTCAATTCAAATTGTAAATCTCAGCTCAGCCTGGACCAGTTAACCACTGTGTAATTGTTACATATAAGACTAGCACTTTTAACCTTATTTTTAAAAGCCACACACATTGGAGGAAAAATGTTTTTTGAACTTAAATAGGCTTAAACTTTCATCTGCTCCATAAATACCAGGAAACGATTCTTCAAAACATTGTTAAACTGAACCTATTTTAGAAATATCTACTAACAGACTTTGTGCCATATTTTCATTTACACTATGGATCTCTCTCTCCCCCCCCCCCCCCCTTACATTTTGACTGATTCTCATTTACCCCTTACCATGTTAGCCTGATGTTCATTAGTGGAAGTTTTTAAGGCTCCATCTGTAGTTCAGTTAACCACATCCCCTGACTTGGCTGTAACTAGGTCCAGTTGCTGAATTCAGACAACTTTGTAACAAATACTTATTTGTTAAAAACAACTGTCAGAGCCCCTTTAAGTGGTATGTTACTTTTGGATAAGCATTCTTTAGCATGGGGGGGGGGAAAAAACCTGACTGATCACATAAGGGAAATTGGCAGCACTCTAGTAATTTTCCCTATCACACAAAGGGCAAACTGAACAAGAGAAGAGATTTTTGCCCTCCTAAGTTTGTAGGTGTCTTTGCATCTACTACAGTTATGTTTTTCCAACAGAATTGTGAGTTTTCGGGTGTGTGTCTCATTATTAGAACTACTTGGCCTGGTTTCTTGACTCAATGGCAGTGTGGATAGGACCACGAGTATTGTATTGTTTTAACTAACATGGTTTGTTTGGAAGCATAAAAAAATTACATACAAGAATCATTGCTCTGGCAGGGTAAAAGGACCTTTTAAGTTGCAGCGTCAGACTCATTTGTCCATACTGCACCACAAACGTACTCAGGATGTAAATTCCCAGTTAAAGTTAACCAGTTAAAATGGTATGTTTAACTAGTTAACACTGATGTGCTGTGAGCCGGGGGTGGGGGGGGGGCTCTCAGGCCAGGCCAGGCCACCATTTACCAGGTAAGCATGACAGTAAGGCTGATGCTAACCTGGTAACCTTTTATATTCCTAACATGTACCTGTTCATGAGTGTTGAAGAACAGTTTATTTACAACCAGACTGAAGTATTATTTTCCAGTTTGTTTATGCTGTGTGTTTACTTAGCATCCCATAATATGTCTGTCCCTGCCAGGTTAAACCCTATTGAACTCTATGCTTCTCTGTCCTCAAGAGTTTTCTCTAGTTTGACATTGGTAATCATTCTGTACCTAAAGAAAGGGCTGGATTCAACTCTCAAAAGTTGAATGGAAAGTCTCCCCAGCTTCAGTAAGAGTTGGATCAGGCCCTATAACCTTAATTTTTGGTATTTCCTGACTTCACTGCATGATCTTGCAACTAATATTGTATTATCAAAATTAAATTAAAGATCTATTTCCTAGCTTTTTAAACACTTTTTTAATTTAGGCTGTGTCTTTGGAATTACATCAGTGAAAGAGCTCTGTCCTGTCAAGATAAGCAACTACATGCGTGATCTTACAGTGGCACAGTTGCATTGACAGCTGTGCTGCTATAAGATTGCTCATGTAAACATGGCCCAAGTCTCTTCTAGAGTTAGCTAGCTGAGCTCATACATTTCTATAACTGAGGAGATAAGTATACCGGTATATTCATTCTCACCACATCTGTCTTGAAATGCATAACTGATAGCATAGTGCTACTTATTAAATTCAAGCTTTTAAAAATGTAGTAAAGGACTTACAGGACATTAAGGCCAGTTAGCATACCAGCTTTGAAGGTTCAAGCGTTAGTCATGAGTTCTTTTGAAAAGATTAAAAAAAAAAAAAGTGAGGTAGGGATGGGGACCTGTTCACTCACATAAATTATCACCTGGGGGAGGGACCAATCTTGTGATATATCAGTCCCAAAGATGAATGTTTCAGAAAGTAACGAACATAGGTAAGAGGAGGAGATTAGACTGGAAACTGCTTTGTGATTGTCACCGAAATCCTTCAGCAATTTCGTAGCTGAAATTCCAGAAGCCCTGTAAATTCATTGACTCTGGTACTTACTGATTTAATGAACACTTAAACAATCAAGCAGAGTAAGTATGGCTGCAGATAGAAAATGCAGTCAGAGATAATAGGGTGTTGTCCATTCTCAACTTAAATGTCTTTTCTCTAAGATGTAAACATGCATCATGTTGATAGCAATAAAGTGAGAAAAAACAGCCAAGAATCTGTGGGTGCAAGGTTGAAGTGTTTGTGTTACAGCAGACTTGAGCCTTTTTCAAGAGCAGCCTCCTTGAAATAATGTTCTCTTGGCTAGCAGCCCTTTTTTCACAGCAGCAGTTGACAACAGCACATGATTGATAGCATGACATTGTTTGTGACCCCAAAGCTGGAGACCAGCTAGTCTTGTAGGTTAAAGATGTTTACTCTCTCACCATCACTCTT